TGCTAAGCCTTCCTGCTAACAACCAACTGGGACCCTCTCCTGCCCAGACTCAGAAGGGTGGCCCCCACCCCTTTCTCGTACACATCCCCCCTCTAGAGGCTGCCTGTGGGCCTTTCTGGGGTCCCCCCAACTGCCCGTCCTGCTGGAGCAGACTGCCATCCACCCACAGTGACTCCTGTGTACAATCTCCCTGGCATGCACACACACAGGCACAGTCCCCACAGGTGAAGCACTTGAACTTGGACAAAGGCGAGCCAGGACAGGCCATGCCCCAGCTGGACCTCGGGCACCAGTGACCCCTCCCCTGAGCACATCCCCCACTAGTCTCCTGAGACCCTGGTCTCCCTGAGACCTTCCCATGGGATGAGGATCCCACCCACCACCAGGCCACGCGGGACCAGAGGGAGGCCCGGGACACAGGCCTGCACTTTGCGGGCTTGGACAGAGCGCTGAGGCTGGAGGGGCTCGGGGTCCTGAAGCGGCACCTCTGCGGTCCCCAGGAGGAGGCTGCCCCAACCCCTCTGAGGGGCAATGCCCCCCTTCCTCTCTGCCACCTCCCTCCTCTTCCCTCCTTTTCCTCACCCTTGGCCCCTTCTCCCTCCTCCCCCTCCCTTCGCCCCTGGCTGGGTGGCTCCCTGCCCTCCTGCCCAAGCCCTGCACTCACCCTCCACTCTCCTCTCTCCTGGCTCTACCTAGCAGCCCGACCCTCCCTCCGGCCCTCAGCCCCCACTCCCAGGTGCTCTGACTCAGGGACAGTGGGGCCCCAGCACAGCCCGTGCTGCTGACGCGCACCCAGGAGCTTCTTCCAGGACTTGATGAGCGACTTGGCCAGTGCAATGACCTCCTCATCCGAGCTCTGCTTCCGCAGGGCGTTGACAGACATGCCGACCCGGGTGGACTGCAAGGCAAGCATGTGGGCTGGGGCAGCCGCCAAGCCCCCTCACAGACCCTCGGAGGCTCCCCCAGGGCGGGGCTGAGGGAAGGGGACACTTCCCGAGGGCTACTGCCCCACCTGGGACTTGGGAAGCTCAGGGTGAGGGCAGGTGGGCCACCCTGTCCCTCCCCCTCTCAGAAAACAGAACAAGGCACAGATGGTCTCCTCGGGAAGGGGTTTGTACTGACCAAGGACCGAGGGGGGGCGGCCAGGGAGCCCTGTGAGGGCCCAGGAGCTGTCCCCGGAGCTGTCCTGAGCAGGGGCACGAGGGCCCTACCTGGAGCAGGTGCAGCGTGACCGGCATGGCCTTCAGCTCCCGCAGCAGGTCCACGGCTCCCTCCTAGAAAGGGGAGGGGTACCTTCATGAAGGACTCTGAGTCTCAGTGCACAAGCCCACCTCTGACACACGAGGGGGGACAGGGCAGTGACAATTTGGAGATCCACCTGGGTCAGATACCCGGGAGGGCGGGAATAAGAAGTGGCCATGCACTCACCCAGCATTACAGGTCGTTAGACTTCTCACCCAGCATCAGCCACTGACCAAACCAGGACGATGGGAAATGCCTTGGAGGGCCACAGCCAGGTGAAGGGGTGGCCCAGGGGTGCTCACTGTCCTGTGCAGTCCCATGCCCCTTGCCCAGGTGCCTTTTTCTAAAGTGGCCCACTCACCCACTGAGAGGGGCTGACCCAGGGCCCAGGGCGCCTCCACCACACCCACACCCAGCATTCACAGTCCCCCACCCCACCCCCATCAGTCTCTGCAGGACTCTCAGGCCCTGGCCAGCCACCCCCCTCGCCTGGACTATTAGACCCCTGGGCTTTCTCTGCCTCACCCCCCACCCCACACCTGTTTTCTCCAAGCCCTCACACAATAAGGCAGTTCCTCAAGGCTCCTCCAGGGGCCAAGCTGCTGCTCCCACTACAGGGTGCCCCAAGGGCTGTGCCCTCCCTCCCTCCAGAGCTGTTTAAATGACACCTTCTCAGTGACCGCACCCCATCCTTCTCCCTGCTTTTCTTCCCTCCACAGATGCTTCGATTTTTAATGCAGTGAGGTTTTCATGTGTCTCCCCTAAAGGGGCAGAGATGACCCCACCCGCCACCCAAGCTTGTGAGAGCCTCAGATGCCCCAGGTCGTGGGAGGGCTTGGCCCACCCCCACCACCAATCTGGGTGGCATCTCTGCTCAGGCTACAGCCCTGGGTGACCTCCTCCGAGGGGACGATGTCGCCAGAGCCAAGGCACAGTGCCACTCACTGATCATCTTCCCCTGACGGAACCCCCGGCTCCAGAATGCCAGCTTTCCAGGGCTCCAGACCAGAGAGACAAACTTGATTCCTGACATCCCAAGCAGGGCCCCAACTCCCCCAGGGGCTTCATGGGCACTGGAACCCCCAAGGGCCTCTGCCAGCTCTCACCCCCACTCCACAGCACCCAGCCCGCGCCACCTCCGCCCGCAGTGTTCACCAGCCAGTTCCCTGGGGCTTGGCCTGAGCAGTGCTTCCACCTGCATCCCCTCCCCCCAGTCCTGCCTGGCCCCACCTACCCTGCTTGGGCTTCGCGACCCATCTCCATCCCCCGCTGGGGGTGTTTATTATTCGTTTTGTCTCCTTTCTCTGGCCATCTCTGGAAAAGGCTACAGACTGTGCCCACGCCCCTGCTCAGCTGCCCACGACCTCCCAGGGATTTGCACACAAGAGGAGGGTAGGCACTCCTGGCAGGGTGAACGAATGAATGGGAGCCAGCCCCTTTCCCAGCAACAGGGTCAACCAGGGATCCACACTCAACCCTGCTCAACCCACAGCCACCCCAAACTGTCGGTGCAAGCACCCAGCGGGGATGGCTGCAGGGTGCGAGCCCAGGACCTCCACTGGCTGAGGCCACACTCCGCCTGGCGCCCAGGAGCTCCGGGGAGCCGAGGGAGTCGGTGTGTGCTGAGCCTCTCCCGGCGGCCAGGACCCTCTCCGCCCACAGGGCGCTTCCGCGGAAGGGCCTGCGGGTGCCGGGGCCTCCGAGCTGTTGGAACCCCATCTGCCAGGCCCCTCTCTGCAGAGGCTCCGGGAGGCAGAACAAGAGGCCCAGGCACCCCCGCCAGGCTCCCGGACCAGGAGGGCCCTTTCCTGGGGTCTCTACTGCCCCCCACTCCCCAGTTGCTGCTGGCCGAGTCCTGGCTAAAGAAGGGAAAGCATTTATTAAGGAAACCTGGCTCTTGTGAGGCGGGGACAGGGAAAGGCCTGCGGCCGGCCCCGCAGGGACTGCAGGGTATAAGAGGCCGATCTCGCACCCCGAACTCTTGCAGGCCGGAGTGGGTGCGGGACCGAGGGATGCGGTGAAGTGGCCCGGAGGGGCGGGGCCGAGGAAGGGC